CCGGCCCATCGTCCCTGAAAGGAACCCTGAGTCATGCAAAATCAAGTGCAGGTTTGGCCTGGGGATTGCTTTTGATGTGAGCATCTAGGGGGCCGGATCCCCCTGCTCTTTGCTAACTTGGGGCATGGTAGGGCAGCGACATCAGCAGGGCTTTCACCACGGACGTGGGTAGAGACGATGAGATGGATTCTCATTCTGCCCACGGGTCTCACAAAGTCAGTGGGTCTAAGGGATCATGGAGAGAACGTGGAAGAACCTGACCCACGGAGCCCTGAGAATATTCATAGGGCCAGCTTCCATTGGCAATCCACAGACACGACCTCTAAGGGCATCCTCGTTTTATAGCGAAGGGCAAACGTAGCGTTCTCCTTACCAAAAAAAAAATAAAGAAAGAAAGAAAATGCCACATTGTCTAGATAACCTACCAAGAATTCCCTGCTCTGTGTGTTTGCCTGCCCCTTTTGGTACTAAAGCTCCGGCAGTCTGCTATTGCATGGTAAACATATATATTTTCACATGTAATTATACCCTCTAAAAATTGCACAGTATAGTGTATATTATTGTCAGGGTGCGTTTTCTTTTTCCAGCCAACGTGGCTCTTCAAATGTGGAAACAGCTGTGGAGCCCTGCCAAAGAAAGAAAGAAAGAAAGAAAGAAAGAAAGAAAGAAAGAAAGAAAGAAAGAAAGAAAGAAAGAAAGAAAGAAAGAAAGAAAGAAAGAAAGAAAGAAAGAAAGAAAGAAAGAAAGAAAGAAAGAAAGAAAGAAAGAAAGAAAGAAAGAAAGAAAGAAAGAAAGAAAGAAAGAAAGAAAGAAAGAAAGAAAGAAAGAAAGAAAGAAAGAAAGAAAGAAAGAAAGAAAGAAAGAAAGAAAGAAAGAAAGAAAGAAAGAAAGAAAGAAAGAAAGAAAGAAAGAAAGAAAGAAAGAAAGAAAGAAAGAAAGAAAGAAAGAAAGAAAGAAAGAAAGAAAGAAAGAAAGAAAGAAAGAAAGAAAGAAAGAAAGAAAGAAAGAAAGAAAGAAAGAAAGAAAGAAAGAAAGAAAGAAAGAAAGAAAGAAAGAAAGAAAGAAAGAAAGAAAGAAAGAAAGAAAGAAAGAAAGAAAGAAAGAAAGAAAGAAAGAAAGAAAGAAAGAAAGAAAGAAAGAAAGAAAGAAAGAAAGAAAGAAAGAAAGAAAGAAAGAAAGAAAGAAAGAAAGAAAGAAAGAAAGAAAGAAAGAAAGAAAGAAAGAAAGAAAGAAAGAAAGAAAGAAAGAAAGAAAGAAAGAAAGAAAGAAAGAAAGAAAGAAAGAAAGAAAGAAAGAAAGAAAGAAAGAAAGAAAGAAAGAAAGAAAGAAAGAAAGAAAGAAAGAAAGAAAGAAAGAAAGAAAGAAAGAAAGAAAGAAAGAAAGAAAGAAAGAAAGAAAGAAAGAAAGAAAGAAAGAAAGAAAGAAAGAAAGAAAGAAAGAAAGAAAGAAAGAAAGAAAGAAAGAAAGAAAGAAAGAAAGAAAGAAAGAAAGAAAGAAAGAAAAAGAAAAAAAAGCGAATTTGCTGTAGTTTAGCCAGTGGATTAGAGAATCGAACTTCAGTATTTCAGCAGATGAAACTAAAGGGTGAACACTTTAATATTAGGTGCCTTTGCATTCTAATGGCACCATGTTTTCTTTAGTTTCCCACTGCGTGGCAGTTTAGTGCCTTTTTAATTTACTTTGCTTTGTTGAAGGGCTGAGGATGAAAAGTTACAAATCGGAGGTTTTTTCAGCCCAGTGAAATTTCTATCATAGACAAACAAGTGGGATTTTAAATTTATTTAGAGATTCACACTATTTCTGCTTTTAGAAAAACACTCGCAAGCAATTGGGTATGGCATGACTGCTCCGTGTAATGCATGCATGCAAGGTGTATATTGCAATAAATATTATATCTACAGCACTGTTTAGAGCAATAGATACACACATATAGTCAGGGTTAATGAACAATTATATTTATAATGCTTAATGTCCCATATGCATAGTTGTTCTAAATGTTAAAGACGTTATTTTTCAGTGCTTAATTCTGTGAAATTACAACATTTTCCCAGTGGTTCTCTCTCTCGTTTCTATTCCTCCTCTTCCTAGATCCTTGCAAACCCTGTCCTTTTCTATCATTTCCAGCACAACTTAACCAGCAGAATGGTTCCTCCGGACAATCTTTGACTACGTTTTTAAGCTTTCACTTGCAATTAACAAAAAATGATGGTTATTTCAAAAACCAAAACAAGGCAGGTTCGTGGCTAGAGCCAGCCACAGCAAGGTTGGGATCCAAATCGTCCCCCCACCTTATCTGGAAATCGTGTGCACTCCCCACCTGGAAAAACATTTTAAACGCTTTGAGAAAAGAAAAAGTGAAAAGCCCCTCTGCCCCCAAACCCCTTTATTGGTGGGACATTCCAGCTGGTGGCTTCCACTCCACAATTGGTCCTAACAAGCAACTTGCCCAGCCTTGGAACTTGTCAAAGGGAGCTACTGCCCCAAATAATATCCCCTCGTTTCCTCCGCTTCTTCTCTCTCGGTGCCATTAGAGCCCAGCACACCCCTACTCTCCATGCAACCTGCTCTGCCAGTGTGGGGAAGCCAATGATTTTTGGAAGGCTACACAGATGGGTCCATACCCTGGTGATTGGACTGAAAGGGGGTTGGCTGTTCCCTCCCAACTTTGTGTGTGTGTGTCCCCGCCTGGGACTGTGTTAGCCGAGCTCTTCTGATTGGCTGAGGGGTTGGTCCAAGCTCCCCTCTGCACTGAGAGGCAAGCTCGGTTGGGACCCACCTCTCTGGATGCTGGATCATATAAAAGGGGAGCCCAGGCGCTTGCCGAGTCAGTAGGAGGTTTCTGCTGGGGTCTGGACTGGATCTACATAGTCAGATCATCCCTGTATGACTGGACTCTAAACCAGAACAAAGGGGCCCAAAGAGTCTACATGTCTAATATTTAGACATGTTCAGCTTTGTGGATTCTCGGTTACTGCTGTTGATAGCAGCGACTGTACTACTCACCAAAGGCCAAGGAGAAGACGACGGTGAGTAACAACTTTCTTGTTCACTTTCTGTACAAGGTGTGCGGCTCTGCGTGGATGCATGCTCTGGTGAAACATCTTTGCTTAGGCACAGGCTGGTCCTCCTTGGGGGGAAAGTGAAATTGCACTTGAGAGCTGGAGGGATGCAGAGCTGGACTGGTCTGCAGAGAAAAGTCGGTGGAAGTTCAGGAGTGGGGTTGCCGGACGTGGTGCTTTGCATGCTTTGGATGGGGTGCAGTCGGCATTACTAGCTCGGGAACGGCAGGTACGAGGCCAGGTTAGGGAGACGGGGAGAAATGTTGTTGTCGTTTTTCAGGGGTTGTGCATTTTAAAATGGGGTGGGGAAAAGATCGTCTCCACCTTGACAGAGCATCTGGAACTGTGTGCGGCGGAGGGCGGGTCGGAAGGGGCTCCGGTGTGTTGCTCAAAAAGTGGGGGTGGACAAATCCAGTCGTGGCTGGTGTTTGTTCTCCCCGCACTGAAGTGCAGAAAACAGCCCCTTCCCCAAGCACGGAGAGGCAGCTGCTGTAAAGGGGACTGGGCGTGTTCGTATGTGCTGTGTCTCCTCTAAGCATGCCTCTGGCGGGCAGACGAGCTCTGAGATTCCTTGCCAAGTTCTGGGGTGGGGAGAGCAGCATAATCAGCCTCCGGGAGGGGTTCTGGAAAAGCCATTGTGAGCGTGGGCCGCGCCGGGAGCAGGGAGGGGGCCCGGGGCTGCAGGTTTGGGAGCTGCAAAAGCCATCAGGAACGAATTAGGAAAGGCTCCGATGATTCATAAGGAAAATGTTTCCAAGCCTGGGAAGCGCAGGAGTCTAGACATCACTTCACAGACAAACCCTTCGGATGCTCAGGACCTGGACTCATGTTTCTGCAGTGAAGTTTCACGGTGGGGGGAGGTCTCGTGGCGACCTCTGGCGGCCATCACCAGGCCTTGCTCCTGCAAAGCCCTGGGTGGGCTGCATCACCGCCCCCTGGGGCCCATTGGGAGCCCTGGGACTGGACAGTGCCCGCCAAAGGGGCAAGACCTCCGCCACCAAATGGGTTTGTGGAGCAGCCCCTCCACCTGCTTCCCGGCCCCATTCCAGGGCCCCTGGGCTTGGCCTGCCCCTACCGGCGGAGTGGCTGACTGCACCCTGGCACGCCACTGCCGGGCGGGTGTCAACACCGCGGTTTCCTGTTGCAAAACCGCTGGCTTCTAGGGACTCCGCCAGCAGCAGCATGTTTTGTTTAAAATGTAAAGGAGACATGAGAAGCCGGGGACGACAGACCAGAAACAGCTGGCCTCCCAGCCGTGCTCCCGCCCCGGGGGCTTCCCACGCGAGGAGAGCTCTTCCCACTTGCCTCCCGCTGCGGGGAACGGCGCCACATTTGACAAAACCCGCAACAATCACGTGCCCAGCAGCTCCCCCCTCCCCTTCTGCCCGTGCTCGGAGCTGTCACCACCAGCGAGCAACCTGACCGTGGCGTCTCCTCCATCTAATTCCAGCCGGCCCACCTGGCCTTGCATTCCACCCGCCCCAGCTCCGCTCCCCTCCCACACCAGTGTCACCAGATCCCATTGCGCCAGAATGCACTCCACGCCCCCTCCCGGCCCTCCCCACCACCCCTTGGGCCTGGCCCTGCCTTCCTCCTCTTCCAGCCCTCTTCCCTCTCTGCCGTTTTATTTGGCTTGGCCTAGGCTCCGCGAGCTGGGGTTACAGTTGGATGTAACAATTGGCCGCAGGTTTTGTTTAAATTCCAAGGGCTCTGGAAATAGTTCTTGTGGTGTTGGCATGTTTCCTGTGGCAGGGAGCTGAGCTGATGAGAAGCAGATGAAGTTCCCGGAGAAGGGGGGGAGGCCGGTGGGACTGGAAGGGAAAGAAAACGCCCTTGGATAGAGAGGAGGCCTTAGGAGATACTGTCCTAGTGCCCGGATTGGGGGTCCTGGCCTGCAGCTTCAGGGCTGGGTCCCGAGTCAGCTCTTTGGCTCCTGACCTTCCCTCCTTCCCTCTAGTTCCATCTGGAAACTGCATACAGGACGGACTAACATACAGCGACAAAGATGTGTGGAAACCGGAACCCTGCCAGATCTGCGTGTGCGACAGCGGCAACATCTTGTGCGACGAGGTGATCTGCGAAGACACCTCGGACTGCCCCAACGCTGAGATCCCCTTCGGAGAATGCTGCCCCATCTGCCCCGACAGCCAGGGTACGCCCGGGGCATGCTCCGCCTCATGCGCCGTGTCCAAGGGGGCAGATTTGCTCTTGCCCGTGGGGGTGGGCGGTTCTCACCTCTCCTTCGCACGCGGCCTGAGACGGGCAGAGTGAGAGCACCTGAGCTTCCCTCCCCGGGGAGCAATGGGGCCTTTTGCTGGCACGTGGACCAGGGCAGCTCGGTTGGCTTGCCTGGCCAGCCTGCAGTCGGGTGGGGGGTTAGAGGCGTGTCCAAGGGGGCAGATTTGCTCTTGCCCGTGGGGGTGGGCGGTTCTCACCTCTCCTTCGCACGCGGCCTGAGACGGGCAGAGTGAGAGCACCTGAGCTTCCCTCCCCGGGGAGCAATGGGGCCTTTTGCTGGCACGTGGACCAGGGCAGCTCGGTTGGCTTGCCTGGCCAGCCTGCAGTCGGGTGGGGGGTTAGAGGAGCATGTGACTTGCCTTTTTTAAAGGACCCTTTTTCTGTCTTTTCCCCCACAGCCTCTCCTTCCTACCCAGAAACCACTGGAGTAGAGGTAAGGACAAGCCCTAGGCTCTCTACACAGCCCTATTCCCTGGTGTTTTCTGGGGGGTCTTTTCTCTCCCTGCTCAGCCTCTAAAGACCCTGTCTTGCTTCTCCCCCCAGGGACCCAGAGGAGACCCCGGCCCCAGAGGAGACAGGGTACGTATCTCCAGCCACGCTTTGGCCATTGGTCACTAGGGCTTGGTCAGGACCGGCGGGGGAGGCGGCGGAAAGATTTCCATGCACGTGACTTTCAAATTGTCCCGAAAACGTTGTGTCCACATTTCACAGCTTGAATCCAGCTATGGACGATTGTGACCCAGTCCAGTTACCCAGCCTGTGACATGCCTGGGGGTGTTCCTGAAGTACCAACCTCTGAATCCCCCTCTTCTCTTGCAGGGACCCCCCGGCCCACCTGGGAGAGACGGCATTCCCGGACAGCCTGGTCTTCCTGGACCCCCAGGCCCCCCAGGACCTCCAGGCCTTGGCGGAGTGAGTTAGCTTCCAGCCCCTCGGCCTGGCACGGGATGAACGCGGCTCAGCGTTCTCACCCCGGCTCTCCCTTCTCTCTCCTGCAGAACTTCGCACCTCAACTCTCTTACGGTTATGACGAGAAATCCGTTGGCGGCCTGTCCATGCCCGGCCCTATGGTGAGTACCCAGGGTCTCCCTCGGGGGCTGGCCTGTGGTCAGGACTGGAACAGGCGAAGGCAGGGAGCAGCTTGGCTCTAGAACGCACAAGGCCAGCTGCCCCAGAAGGCGGGGCGGGGGCGGGGGGCAGGAGGTATCTTCCTGTGGCCGGGGCGGGACCATGGCTGATATTTTCCTAGGCAGCTGTATCCTGGTTCCGCAGGCTCAGCCCAGGACACTTGAATTTCCCTTAGCACAGCCCGAGGGCCGGGCCTGCTCTCTGCCCCAGGATTCCCCGCAGCGGCAGACCGTTCTGAGGACGTGAGAACGGCCACGCTGGGTCAGGCCACAGGGCCCGTCCAGCCCCGTGTCCTGTCGCCCGGGGTGGCAGCTCTGTGGATGGGGAGCACAAGGGCGAGGGGGGTAGGAGACAGCGAGAGGCGGCGTGGTCCATGCCCCAGCCAGGTGGCGAGAGGGAGGGGGCCCCCGGGACCCAGGGTGGAGGGGCCAGGCCAGGACTCCACTGACTCCCCTCACCTGATTTATTTCTTCTCTCTCTTCTCCACTCCCAGGGTCCAGCTGGTCCCCGCGGTCTCCCCGGCCCTCCTGGTTCTCCCGTAAGTGCCTCACAGCTTCCTGCCTTTTGGGAAGGGGCTCCCGCTGGGCCCCGTCAGGCTCCGCTGCTCCCGGAGATCTCCCAGCCGCGGGGCCGGGTTTGGCTCCTTCCTCCTCACACCCTGGGGCAGGGTCGCGGCTGCTCCCTGCTCTGCAGCTGGCGGGGAGGGAATGGGAGGGGTGCCCCAGGAGCTGGGTGCGGCAGGCTCGTTCGCTCACCTGTTCTGTCCTCCTGCTCCTCTAGGGTCCTCAAGGTTTCCAAGGTCCTCCCGGCGAGCCTGGCGAGCCTGGCGCTTCTGTGAGTCCTGCTGCA